AAGGTTATATTTTATTCTCAAAACATCCTATGTTTTTCCTAAATTATCCTTGTAGATACACCCAAATAATAAACAAATCAAAAATTTCAAATTACACCACTTTACAAAAAACTTTTCAAAAATTCTTAAATAGATTTCTCACAATTATTTATTCACATACAGATTTCTCAATATCAATTAAACCATCACTAATTTATTTTTATTTTTTTTATGAGAATATATAAAGCAGTTATTTTATTGATTTGTGAAAAGGATTTTTCTGAAAAGTGTCAGCAATTATTCTGTTCACCATGCCAAGTGCCCATTGAGAAGATGATTGATGGGTTGTCCAGTTTGTTCTTTTTTTCTTTTTTTTTTTTTGAACGATGCCCAGTTCTCTCTCTCGTCTCTCCTTATATATTTCAGTACAGTATCTATATATAGTTTCTTATAATTTTTGTTTATCTTAGCCTGAAATTCTTATTTTAATTTTTCCAATTCAAATGCAATTTTAAAGAGTTTTTTCTTTTATCTAAATAATACCCTAAACACAAAATTAATAATTGTAATTCGATATTTATGTGAATACTTACATCACCTTTGATGGATTGTTTCAAAAAATAGTTTTGATTATTGTTCTCATTCGTTATTTGATTTTGTTCAAACTTTCTTCTATTTGTAAGTAACAACACAAAAAGAAACAATGGTGTTGATAATGGTAAGTTTTGGTAAGGTGAATTGAAATTTTAGAGTGAGAAAGAAAAAGATAAAATAATTGAAATTTGGGGAAGAAGATAAGAGACTTGAATCTAAATAATACATATAAGTAATTAGGGTGTGCCATGAAAAAAATGATATTTTATTTTAGGATTTAATATGTGTTTTCCTTATTAATAAATGTAAATTAGCATATAATATGAATTAAAATTTCTAAAATTTAATTAGGTATATACTCAATTATTTTTTAAGTGCAAATAGAATCACCAAAAAAAATGGTTGTCATTTTCATAATTAGGAAAAGTAATAATGCATTTAGGGAGTTGGGCCATAAAAAAAAACGAAAAAAGTTCATAAAAAAAAGTGGCTGTTGTTGTGGGAGACAGGCCACCAAGAAGGGGCCCAAGTGTTACAAAAAAAAAACACAAAAGAGTGGTTGTCATATTGAGAATGGCCCAGCAGATATGGACATGAGGAGCACCAACTGGCCCGTAATCCATCCACCGACAAGAGTTGGGGTAAACCTGTAACCTGCTTCCAGCAATTCTTCCACCTGTTAACCTGTAACCTGCTTCCAGCAATTCTTCAAAGCCCAACTCCTACCTTAGGATGGGCGGGCCAGCAAATAACCCCATCAGGGACAGCCTGCTGGACTAGACCACCTTCCAACCACTTTAATACCCTCACTTGAGTGATGGGCTCCGGTGACATTAGCCTCTTTGGTGGCTCTTTAAATGGCGCAAAACTGTGGTCTAATATTTCGATGTGGGAATAGAACAAGTCAAGATGTCAACTGCTCTCCAATCTGTGCACGTGCAGTCCCTAAAGCAATCTTGACACGTGTGTTCCAGGTCAATGGCTTGCTAAATTCATCTGAGAGATGGAGGAAGTCATAAAGAGGACCATTTTTATGGAACTCATATACCAGCAGGTGCTGTCCATGCTCTGAACAATAACCAACAAGCTCTGTTATATTTGGATGCCGCAACCGGGATACATCTGAAACTATATCCATAAAATCTTCAGACAAGTGATTTGGAAGAGCAGATGAATTTATTTTCTTCACAGCAAGAACCTGAAAATATAAGTACACACAACCACATGATCTTACCCATCTACTTCCTGAACTTGATCACAACTTTCAACCTTTTCCAGTCAGCACCACAAATGAAAGCTCCCAAAATTGCAAGGACTGAGGGCAATCACTTTCCTCCATTATATCTACTGATATCTCATTTTCACTCCATGCCTGGGCCAACCGACCAAGCAGATTGAATTTGGACACGTTTATGAGTTAATTACACTTAGCTTCCCTATATTTTCACCATAATTTTATTTTGATTTCTTCACTTTTAATTGTGACAATAATTTTTTCACACTTTAAGTCAAGTGTCCATCTATCACTAATGAGATTGACTAAAATTAAAAAGGGAAAGGAACTAAAGTGAGATTTTAGTAAAAGTGTAATGACTAAAATGATATTTTGATAAAAATACAGTGGTGCTATAAAATCCGGGCGAGATAATCAATGTTTTTCAATTTTGTATTTATTGCTGATGCATATTCAATTATTGGAATCCCGGGACAGCAATATCATGATCCACGAGTTCACACATTTTTAACTAACTCCCTCCTCTCAAATAAATAAAATAAGAGAAATGCTACAATGTGTCTAAAAAAGATCAGAGATAGATTAGGCCCTTTTTTAATTATAAAACTTTACGTTAGAGTTTCATAATCAATTAGAATTGGCAGCTGTTTCACGAGTTTGGTGATCACTTCATATCCAGAAATGATTTATTAATGTAGAAGTGAGATTATTACACCATACCATAGCTGTGGGTTGCGATGAGAGATAGATCGTGAAGGTGTTTGGTGGTGGTGATTGTTTGGTAATATCTCGTTGTCGCTTATTATGGGGAAAGCAAAAAAAAAAAAAAATTGGTGTTGTGACTAATATGCATCCCTTTACATTGAATTTCTGACTCAGTTACTGATTATTTTGCTATAATTCACCGAAAATTAAGGTAGGTGGACTTGGAATAATGCCTAAATGAAAGGCTAAGTGGAAAGTCATTATTGGTCCAGTTTACCCAAAATAAATTATGAAAAATTATGTTTCAGTTAGACAACGAAACAATAATTTTATTTTTTATGATGGGTCTGGTCTAGTCTTTTGTATGGTATAAGTTATTTTTTATTTTTTTATGTTTAGTGCAAATCTTTTTTGTATGCCAAACTTGTATAAAAAAAATTTCGCCCATAATATAATTATTTTAAAATTGTCCCACTTATTTATAATTTTCCCAATAATACTCCAAACCCACATAACAATGATTGTTTAAGTCTACAAGCTTTTGATAAGCCAACAAATGAAGCATGTAACTCGTGGGCGGTATGTTATATATATATATATATTTTATTTATTGTATAATAGCATAAATAATGTCACTCATGTTGTCAAGTATTTTATCCTTATTTTTTTCTTCTCTAATTTTTGTGTTGCTTGTGACCTCTATTTGTTAGCCAAACCAATACTATATTAACATTTTTATTTTTAATTGTCTAATGTGTATCATGAGTTGTTGAAGGTAAAGATGACGTGGCAGTAATTCATTGGATGCCCTAAAATAAATTCATGTGAAAATGTGACCAAATAGAATATCTTTAATGGTTGAATAATTATTGTTAGATTTAGCAACGAAAAATGATAAAATGATATATATTTTATCAATGTTGTTCTAATAGTATAAATGTTATTTTTCATATTTTTCTCACAAGATGCCAAATTGAATATGTGGATCTAACTATTAGAGGTGTAGATACAAAATGACTTTTTCAAAATTTACCCACAGCTGAAGTTTGTGCTAAATTTGGCATGAGGTGTAATAAAGTAAAATTATAACAGAATTTATACCCAGAAAATAAACTAAAAGTTGAGCTTCACTGATATAATTTTCTAGGTAATTTGTTAAATATTTTTTTTCTAATAACATTATTGTTTTAACAATAATAAGCCCCATTGAAAAAGCTAGTGCACAAATGCTACAAGTTAATTATGATAATGAACCATTGGAAGGAAGAAAATTTGAATACAATTTAGAATCACAAAAGTCCACTAAGAGGATAGTATTGGCTTAAAGAAACAACTAGAGTGGATAGTAATGGATCCACCTTTGGTACATCTCATAACATTCTCTACGCTTGTACTCTTGAGGTGAGTGCCCTGCTCCCTACAATAATTTTCAAAATTTAATTTTAAAATTTTTAATTTTTTAAATAACACACTTTTTATGAAACATACAAAAATTAATTTCATATTTTTGAAAATTGTTTGTGCACAGAATTAAAAAATGATGGCTGTTTTACAACTTTTATTTTTGAACTTTTATGTAAACATGAAAAATAAAAAATAACACAACCAAACATACCTAAGGATCTGCTTGGTTGTATTTTTGTATTCTGTTTTTTGTCTTTATTTTTGGAAAACACATATAAACTTGTTCGGCGAACTTTCTTCAATTTTTAAGAAAATATTAAACAATTGTTTTTGATTTTTTTTAAAAATTGTTTTCATGTAGAAATGAAAAATGATGAGTGTTTCAAACTTTTTATTATTTTGTTTCTTAAAACACAAAAAATAAAAATATAACCAAACATACACTTTCCTTCAATTTTTCCTTGAGTTCTTCATAAAGTCAAAAAAGAAAAAATTGAATTTGTGACTTACCAGTACAGTTGCATACGTCAAACGATACCTAGTTTTTGAATACTTGATTGTGTAGCTATATAAAATTGAAAACAAGAAATTTCATTAGACAGGTGGCTTTGATTGATCTCTTTGTCAAAAGTTGGTTTTTTTAGTTTTTTTTTATTTTTTTAAGCACATAAAGTGGTAAAACTTTTTTACATAGTGAAATGATAAATGTCTGCCTCTTGATATTTGCAAATTATTTTCTATTAATTGACTTAAAAAGAAGAAGAGATAGTGGAATAACAAAAATAGTAATAATAAAACTGATTTCTCTTGAAATTTGGTAAAAATACAATAAATCCTATCATTTTAGCGTAATTAAACATACCTCCCCTAGACTAACCCGTGATTAAAAATTTAATTTAATTTAATTTAATTTTAAATTGAAATTGAAAAAATGTTTTTATATACTCACCCTCCAACTTCGCCGTCAACTAGCCATGGCCGCCAGTCACCAACAATAGTTAAATTTAACAATTTTATCCAATCTTGAGTTCCAGTATTTGGTATAGTTAAATCATGATCACCACTGCAAAAAAAAACAAATATTAAAGTTCAATAAAGTGTGTCACACTACTATTATAAGCTCAACTCTAAGAAGTAAATTAATGTGAAGAAGAAAATTATTAGTTAAGCATAGATGTAAATTAAAGGTTCAAAATACCAACTTGTATACAAGAACTTGGAGACCATATGAACTGAGATTCTTATGAACATCAAGTACAGTTTCCACATTCAGTGTGTAATCCAAGTTCTTGTTGCATCTCTTCCAATCTTTAACTGTTCCCTGATAATTAAATTAACCACCATCTCTGAATTAATAAAGTTAATGAAATGTAATCATGCATGAATTTTACAATAAATAAAGCAAAAGTTTAATCATGTATATATTTAATCAGTCAAGTTAATGTAAATAACCCTAGAAATTAAATTCTTTGAAGATCACATACCTCTGTAACATACAAGGCCTGTTGGACACTCTCATCATTTGCCCAAATATAGGAGAGCGCAAAATTGAAATTCTGCACATGTAGATGAATTCATATTATTATTCGGCACATTTCAAGCCCACGAATGGCCTCAAAGAGGGAGAGAGGAAAGAGAAAATTACGTGACACCACATTTCTGGAATTTTGGGAGGTGAGAGAATGAAATTTCCTGATTGCTGCTCTAGTGATCGTCTATCGGTTTCTCCATTTTGATCTGGGGATGCCCAAGTACACTTTGGTTCCAATATATCATTTTTGTTTATATCATGAATCAACTACAAATCAAAAATAAAAATTCTCATCCTTAGTAGGTCTAGAATTTCAAATAATTTTGGACCTAAAATTGAAATCACCAATGGCTCTCACGTTTGCAATCTTTTGAAGGCTTTCAAAGCACTCTGCTTGGTTTGGATCCACATCATAATAATTAGCACTACAAGTTATTTTGGTCTCCTGTAAAACATTTTTTTAAAACAAGAAAACAAATCAAACCTTGCAATGCTACTGTATGAAAGACCATAATTTTCAATCATACAACATTAGGAATGAAAAAGTTACATACCCAAAAAAAGTATTTAGAAAAGTATCTCGGAAATGAAATGTGTAGTGTAAATTTAAATTTAGTTTGATGTGGGTCACACCCAAAATATCTAATCCACAAATTTCATTTTCTAGACAGTTTTCAAAATACTTTTTTTTGAGTGCGTAATATTGTTAGCACAAACAATCACCTCATAAAGTTCATCAGATATAAGTCCCATCCGGTGAGAGTATGATATTTTTGAATTTTCATTAATAATTACATCTGTTCGCGGACACCCAAGAATATAGCCCTAAAAAACCATTTCAAATTAGAATATTATATTAATACGACAATTATTGTGAAGCAGACGTCAAGTATAAATCCCATTGAAACAAAAATTAAAACATTGCATTGAATAGTGATGTACATAACAAATCTATAATGCACAAATTTATTCGACTAAACCGAGCTTATTAAAGTCACTTGAGTTCTAATATTAAGTTACTTACTTTGAGATTCAAGCGTGGCCTCTCCCCAACAGCATTTCCTATATCAAAAATATATGATTAATCAAAACATGAGCTAATGAGAGTTGAATTAGTTACTAATTGTCATTAGCATTAATAATTAATTTAGTTACCCTCTAATATATGTTGAACTACTATTGGAGCAGTTATGCCTGAATAAGAATCAGCCCCAATGAACAACTGATTTTTGAGGTATTTTGGGTGATCAATCAGCCACTGCATTGCAATTCCAAATAAATAGTAAGCACAAGCAGTTAAAAAAAATAAAGGGTAAATTTTTACTATTTAATTAGGTCCCGTAGACCATCTCTCAGTGGCCGTGGGCTACATTTTGTGGCTGTAGGCCATTTTGCCCATTTCGGAGCCCGGTTCCTGGTTTTTCGGAGCTGTCAGGCCATGTGGCTTGGTTCGGGACCGCCTAACTATCTCCGATTGCTCCGATTTTTGGCATGCATCTTATTTACTCCATTTTGAGGGACACTGAGGTCTGAGGGACCCACTTCGTGGTTGAATGCCACTTTCGGTGCTTAACAGGCAGTTTTTGAGGCCCCGAACTGCGCGTTCTGGCCCCCGAACATTCGTTTTGCATCGGTTTTCGTTCATTTTTGGCAAGTACCTCTGTTTCATCACCAGGAAGGCCGTAGAAGGGTGGGAGGCCAACAATTGTTTCAGCAACCAGCTATATTCCTCCGGCGCCCTCCGGCGCCCGTTTTTCTCACTTCCAAGCCAATATTGACCACCCTAGGGTCACTTTCTTCAATCCTAACCCCCATATTTGTGTTGTACACACATGGGAGGACACCAAAAGTTGGTGGCCGGCCAGTAATTCCACCTGACCCTTTTGAACCCTTCCTAAAAATGGCCTATTCTCTCTCCTGTTTTACAGTTGATAATTTTGAACCACAAGGTTGTGTTGAGGGTACCTGGGAGGACACCAATTTGTGGTGGCCGGCCAGAAAATCTTTTTGACCATTTTGACCCTTGGCTGGCCGGCCATGGGGGGTGGCCGGCCGGCCACCTGCAACTCTGAAAGTTGGTCGGCCATGATCCTTGCAATGTGTATATTCCAGCTGTATATCTGTTTTGCCCCCAAAAAACCTGTATCCGGGGGGCAATTTTTGAGGGGAAACTTGATCCATTTTCCCCCCACTTTTTCCCTCCATTTCTCCCCCATTTTTGTCTACATAACAGAGCCTCCAGCTCTGTCTTGAAGGTTGAAAATTTTTGCCTTAAGCCTTGTATACACATCTCTCTCCATCTCTCTCTTTCAAGCTCAAGCATCCAAGTTCCTTGCACCATTCCTTCATCACTACCTAGCATCACCACCACTACTCCATTTCCAGCAGCTTGGGGAGCTTTCCAGCAGCTAGGAGGCATCACTTCTCAAACCAAGAAGCAACCAAGGGTTGGTCTTCAAGGGTAAATGTCAATTCCCTCTTTTTGAGCTTAATTTTGCAACATTTTTATAGCTATTTTGCTTGCTGTTTTGAGCTCCGACCAAAACTGAAAGTACCCTTTATTTGAGCTCTATTTCATGATTCATTAAGGGAATTTTGTCATTTGAGGTCCCCATCTTACACTTCCTTCTTTATCTCTCCTTTAGGCCCTAATCTTGCATGTTATTTTTGGCCTACGTGTAATCTTTTTTGGGGCATGTCATAAACTGTAAGTGAGCTTTTTTTGAGCCCTTATTCAATATTGAAGAAGGGCTCATCACTGTTTAGATACCCCATGTGCTACTTGCTTTGAAATCCATGTTTTTGCCTCATTTTGCATTTTTTTTAAGCCTATTTTTCTTCTGTTTTTGGACCTTGGTCCGAACTGAAAGTGGCCATATTTTGACCCCCTTGTCTTGTTTCATTAATGCTGTGTTTGGTTGGGGGATTTGGGAAGAGATTTGGAAAGGGAAAGGGAAAAGGTGTGTGAAACTATGTGAAATATAAGTATGTTTTATTCACATTTCACCTACTTTTTCCATTTCCCTTTCCAAATCCCTCTCCAAATCCCCTAACCAAATGCACCATAAGGGTCTTTGGCTTTTTGATGAATGTTTTGTATACTTTGTGTTTTGACCTCTTTTGGGCCCTACCTTGCATGGCATTTTGAGCATACTTGTATATTGTTTTGGGGGTTTCCATAAACTGTAAGTAGTCATATTTTTGGTCCCTCTTCAGTGTTGTAGAAGAGTCTTTTTCTGTTTGGGCTTTGCATCTACCACTTGCTTCATTGCCTCCCTTGCGGAGCCATTTTTGTATGATAATTTAGTCCCACTTGTGCTTACTGTTTGGCCATGCTTTGAACTGTAAAAATGCTTATTTTGGGGCTGCCTTGCTTCTGTCTTTTCATTCCATGTACCAATTATGCATGCATTGCATAGCTATAGGCCATTTCATGCGCCAAAATTCATGTTTCGGGACTCGTTCCATGCATCGGGTATCATTTTGCCATGATTCGGGGCTGTTTTTGGCATCTCATTTTGCCTCTGACAATTGCATGATCATATGCCATATTCCATGTTTTGCCATGTCTTGTTAGAGTGGCATTCCGTGCCGGAGGTTCGGTCTTCGGTTTGCGTGCACGCGTGCATGCACTTCGAGTTGTCTCATTTTCATCTTATGGCCTCTTATGTGAGTGTGGCTGAGGTCCACTTGTGTTAGTGTAAGTCCATTCATGCATTGTGTATGCCATTTCATTTCATAGCATTGCGCATGCTAGGTTGTATGTCACCTCGTGCATCGTGTATGCCATTTCATAGCATTGTGCATGTCAAGTTGTATATTAGTTGCCTTCATGCATGTCATGCATATCGTATCGTGCTTGGGATAGGGGTTAGCCCGAGCACGGGAAACGAGGTACGTTTCGTACTCCGAGTGACGGAACGTTTCTCAATTCCCAGTCACCGACACTCTGGACTATCCATGATGGAGTTAGGTTTTGGTTGAGTTTTCATGTGCATTCATTCTATATTGAGTAATGCAAATCGACCCCTCGGCCATCATGCATCGAGATGCGTGATTGGTGGCATGAGGATCGAGGCATGCATACATTTGTGAAAATACATTGCTATGCCCCTTTCCTGCTCTCTGTTGCAGCAAATCAAGAATCAGCAACCTCCCGGAGCTTGGCGCGCTTTCCAAGAGTAATTGTAAAACAGAGGCTAATTGGGGCATCCCAGTGGATTTCCGCGCAAGGCAGCGCAGACATGCATCATCCATCATCTGAAGAAGAGTCAAGGCAGTCCTTGGCTTGCATGCCAGTTTATCTTTTTTTCTTAGTTAATTTGTAAATTAATTAGGAATTTGTATTATTTGGACTGTACTATTTATTCGGACCCTCTGCGTGAGGGCATAATTGTAATAAGTGTGGGTAAGTGTGATGTATGTCTTCCAACCCCACGTCTTTCTTCCCTTTCATTTACCAGCTTATGATGGTTAGATTAGGGCATGTTTCAATTAGCATACAGTATGACAGCATGTTTGCATCATTCATCTGTTTTGCATGCACCGGGCTCGGCGCATCATACTAACTGCATTGTATTTTCAATTCCAAGTTGAGTACTTGTTAGCTGTTGCATCTCATATGCCACGTTTAAAACAGCCGAGCCTGCTATAGTTGCATTTTGCATGTATTGCATTAGGCATTTCTGTATAATTAGGATCATGCATGGATTTCTAATAAGTTTCTGTTTTAGCTTGGAGTACTCGGTGAGTTTTATGCTATAGCATCCTTGCATGCGTGTGAGTGACTGCCATGAATAGCATGCTTACCATGAGGCTATTTGCTTATGTGATATAAACTGCCTGAATGCCTGTGGGTGAAGGTTGGGTTATTTGGATTGGAACAATTCATCAAATGTGTGTTTTAAGCCCACTAGATAGTGGCAAAATCATGTTTTCTAAGCCCACCTGAGGGTGGCAAATCCACGTCTTAGCCTACTTGCGAGTAGCACCATTAAACTATTTTCAAACAAACAAACATGAAATGTTTTGTTCCAATTCAGGTGACCCGGTCTATACTTGTATGTTGTGCGCATCACATAGTAATCTAGGCTAATAACCGGAATAAGAACACACAATATTTTCAAAAATAGATATCATGGTTAGTAGAGGCCGATCTTTGATCGGGCGAGCGGGGGTGCTCACGAAGTGACCTTCCCTAATCGTACCCAAGTTCCCGAGCCGAGGCAACTTTGGTGATGACGGACACGTGGCCTTAGGCAACGAGTCAGGGTTTCCTAAATTTCCCCAAAATAAAATATTTAGGTGGCGACTCTGTATCTGGCAAAGCAGTCCATGTTTGACACTTCTTTTCTAAAAATCTGTTTTCTCAAAACGATTTGCCGGATTTGGACTCTTTGGTTCAGACTTAGAACCGTGACAATTTGAGAGTCCGAGCTGTAGTAACCCCAAATGAACAGAACGGGACTCACCCTCCCGGGGCGTTCGGGGGACGTCTACAGGATACGAATTAGTTTGACGATTTAAACTTTTATAAGTTTTGAACATAATACAACAATTTGCCAATTTTTTTTGGGATAATAATCCAACTCAATATAACCAATAGATTATCAAGTAAATTATCGAATACTAATAATAAATACATATAAGAAAGCCATGCATTATCAAAATTATTTCATTACTTTTTTTTTATTCAAAAAGTATTTAATTTGATTTTTTTTAATTGTATTAAGAATAATTTTATTTGTGTACTTAACAACAAATAAAACACAGTAGAAATAAATTAAAAGAAAGAGTTTCCAAAATCTGCTCAATTACATAAACTAAACAAAAAATGGAAATAGAGAAGGAGAGAAGAAAATAAAATAAGAACAGAAAATACTTACAAAAAATATTTTCTTTAGAGTGATCAAGTCTAGTGTTTAACATTGTCTCCTAAAGGTGGATTCGTCCTCTCTAGGGTGTTCACAGAATTTGGACGTCTATCTCCCAAGATAAAATGATCTTCAACAAACAGTAGCAGCACTACAAATTGTTTGTTCAACGAACACACTTTGTGTTTATACACTTTCTCATAGAAAATTAAATGCAGCAAAATACAGAGAGCAATGACAGATTTGAGGACAGAAATTGAGTGAAAAACCAAATGAGAGACTTGTCTATTTATAGATGCAATAGTGGCTTTTCAGTTTGAATTAGACAGACACAAAACCTATTTGAATTTAAATTAAATAGGTAGGAACCTGTTGAGCTTGAACTGAACAGATTTGAATCTTTTCG